ACTTGATACTATGTGTTCAGTATGGTTCATCTCCTCGACGAACAAATATATAAGTGGCAATTTAGTCAAAGACGAGAAAACAGCACAAGAAATTTGCCTTATTTACACGTATCGGCAATGCAAGCTGCCCAGCGACTTCCCCTTCTGACGTCACAAGGGGAATTTCTGTATGCAAACGAGAAGCTAATCAGGAGCCTCGTTTTAAAATACACACAAAAAAGTTTCCGTAGACTGAGTTTAAAACACATTTTTTCACTTAAAATAAATTATTTATGCTTAGAAACATACAAATTAATAATATTTATGTATCAATGGATAATTTTAGGCGTGAAAATAGCAGCCATTTCACAGGCACTTTAATTGTTGCAGGATTACTCAACTACTATGTTCCTACACACGAAGTGGAAAGACGAACGGTTGTTCCACAATCAGACCAAATCAATCATACTCTCATCATCGTCAATACTCGATCTAATTTGGAAACCTGATTTGTATTTCGAGAACAGTAAGCAAGGTACCCATCACTATGTTACGACCATTAACCGATCCATGAAGATCACTCCAGATGGGGTCATATTTTACAGTTCGAGGTGAGCACAGGATATAAGGTCTACTTTGAAATTACACGGCAACTTGATTTTGTTTTATTTAATATGTTAGTATTTTTTTGCACTCAAGGTTATGTTTTCTCGCGAACTTTCTCCCAACTTTATGTTGGCATTCCGCGAAAAACGCAACGCGAATGCGCATGCACTGGCGTATTGACGCAAATCATGCAACGTCGCGTAGTGAAAAATAGTGCAAAAACAGTGTACGATAGGTTCACAGTGCAGTGTTTAGTGTCATATATTTATCATTTTCGTATAATACATAATTAAATACTTTTTTCGTATTATCACACAACCGTTCCCTAATTTAATCAACTGCTAGGTAAACAAATTGTTTATAATTCTCGACAGACTGAGTGTGACTTTATCGTGTAATATGCATTTCCATCGTTTCCCCATGGACGAACAAGCGTGTCCAATGGTACTACTAAGTTGTGAGTATTTTTTCTATATGAGAGTTTGTGAATGATGGATATAGTTTTTTTGTGTTTCTTATTAACTTAAAGTCAGTTTCCATAAAAAAACATACAATATTTTCTGCTTACAATCCATAAATAGGGTTGGAAATATTAGCCACGTTTGATGTGTGGATTTCATTATTTACAACGCCATAATTTTATTTGTTTTCATGCATGAAGTTAACGTTCAACTATCTACATGACAATATGTTGTCACGATGTCACGTGTTCAAACGCTGACTTCAATGAATGTTGCACCGCATACCACACCGACTCACGCGGTACTTTATTTTTGCCGGCGAATAATGTTTTAGTCCTAGTTTCAGACAAAGTCCGAAATCTGGCACTATTAATTTGATGTCCGTCCGTCCATGCGTCCATGCGTCGCTCAAACTCAATATAAAGATGATGTATGATGACTTACATACGCACGTTAATTTTTATGACAGTTTGACAGCCATTATTACAATCCATGATTTTGCCTGCACAGTGTACTGGCCACGTGTACGCAACTTCGATTTTTTACAAGGCAGTTTACGCATACACAATTGCAGCATCAAGATACAAGTTAGTCCAGTGCTAAAATTTAGAACGTCATTTCAGGATTAAAACGTCTACGTGACTTTACTTTGAAGACATAGATATTTTATACAACCTTGGTGTGTGAGGGCGCTGTATAGTGAATTTCAGTTCAGGTTTGTTGAATTGCCTAATGCACTATATTTATGCTGTAAGAAAAAAAAAAATCACTAAAATGTATATTACAGTTCATGCATCACCGTTTAGAGTTCTATTTCTAAACATATAATATATAAAGAGATAAAATATCTTACATGCAACAGATCATATAAAGCGTTAAAACTAAAATAAAGACTGAATTCGACCTCGAATCAGTCCTCGGCACGGAAGCTGTGACGCGCGGATTGACATATAACGCAACCGTGACATGGCCATTGTTGACATTATAAACACGTCATGAAAAAATTAAATTTAAATACACCTATTTTTCATTTATATTGACAAGGTATATTTCCAGCATAAATTCACTTCAGATAAATGACGGGAATGTCAAATTATTATAATTGTTTGCCAGATTAAAATATTATACTGCCATCGCGAGGCGTCTTCACTCAGCGGCGGCGGGATCCTACTGGGACATTTAATTGATTGACACTTGTCAGAGTGTAACTACGCTCTAACGGGCATATATCAATGATTCGTGCTTTCTAATTCAATCATTTTCATTTACGTAATAAAATGACAGAATTTGAGGGGTAATGAATTAGCAGTTGTTACTTTGTTCAGAAATAATTTACTCTCTGTCACCGGCGGAGTATTGAAGAGTACTGATAAATACAATTTACGTCTCGCCGCGGTAGCCTGGCGCTAATAAACAGACACATTTAATTCCCGAATACACATATTTCATGGAACTCTGTCAAAACAGGACCAATTAACATACTATTTTTTGTCAGATCAGTATGACGATTAGCAATTCCTAGTCGCTGTACGTATTGCATATAGCTGGACTCTATCCTAGTAAGCGCACAATTTGTGCTTGGCATCACGGCGACCGACCAAATTGATCGCTGTTTGTGAGTCTTTTGTTTTTTGCGCTTGAGAATAATCGAATCTGTTTCATGACTCCGCAGCTTCCATAATTATGTAGTTTTATTTAGCGCATGTTTTAAATTGGTAGCCAGTGAAGTAAGAGCTCGTGCGTGTGAACCAACACAGTCATTTTTTTTCTATATTGGATGACGTCCAAATTGTTTTTTTGTTTTTTTTTTTAAATCAAACGTTAATTTAGAAATCGTGGTTGTGTTTGTTCGGTGTGTAACAAAACAAATAACATCACGTCCTGACCGTCATGCACGGTGACATATGTCCGACTAATATAGGCCGTCACTCTCTGATGTCATTTGATCATCCAGCGACTTTAATTAGTAATCATTCACATAACAGTACGACGGTCTAAACTACGCGAACACCGGTACAGAGTTTCCATGAGGCTTTTGTCGTACACCTAGTTGCGTCATTAAATGATCTAGTCCATCCCATGGCTAGTTTGATGGGACTTCGGTTATACATATTTCTCAGCGTGTGTACTTTAGAATAATTAGACACTCAATGCCGTTTATTGACAGTAGACGTCGTTTCATTTGTATATACCATTGTCGCTTAATACATGGCTACTCATTCTTTTGCAGACTTCTGCTTCTGTCTGAAATTGCGTTCAGTCTTTTATTTAAAGCATACTCACAATGCATAGACCTAAATTGCCCTATAAACTTATGTATAAATGCAATGAATACAGTCAAACAAACTATCTCGCATCGATTAACAAATAGTCGTAAAATAACCACTGAAATAATAACTGAAATAATTTCAATCGTGTTTTTTTTGCGATAATACAGATGCGTACAATGGACATGAGCTGAAACTGTCTTGGTACAAAAATCAAAGTTTTGAGGTCTTTGACCAGAACACGTTGCCACAATTCACTCTAGCGGGCTACGAGCTAGACGAACACTTGTTATACTATGCAGAAGACATTCGTAAGTTATGTACTATGTATACATATATATATATATATATATCTTTGGTTTCTCTAATAAGATTTGTGGTTTACATATGCAACTTAAATTTAGGTAGATTTACCGATATAATACTTTTATAATACAATAATACTTTTTGAGTAGCATTCAAACTTCCCAACGATGTATAATTTGTCTTCAATTGCATATACATTTCAATTTACAATAAAATTCAACAAATAACACTTAAACGAGGTAGGAATACGCTTTTGGATGATCCCTGTTTTATAAAAAAACTTGATATCCAATGAAACTAATGAACACTTAGTTGTATTTTGTATAGTTGCAATTTGTTATCACAGGCTGTTTTTTCTCTATCGGCACCTTGAGATGAAAGGTTCCAATGCCATAGTTACATAGGTCAGACGAACTGCGGAAACGATAACAGGAGAGACTAGAACACTATTTGAGGGGCAAAGCAAGTCTCGTAGCTTTCTCGCTTTTAGCAAGATCTGTGCGCCCATTTGCCTTTAAGGTATATTTTTGGAGCAACAATCTTTTAAATTGAAACTTAACTCACAAATCTCTGTTTGTTTTTCAGCACCCTGGTCTTCGCTCGAAGTAACATTCATTTTACAAAGGCAGCTAGGTTACTATCTACTTGTTTTCTACGTTCCATGTGTTCTACTGGTTACAGTATCGTTCATATCGTTTTGGTTGTCGTACCAAGCAACGGCAGCGAGAGTTAGTCTCAATCTGACATCGGCATTAACAGTCGTTGCTCAGGGGATCGGTGCTCGTTTTTTCCTTCCCCGTGTCTCGTACACAACGGTTAGTAATTTGCATCCATATTATTTCGAAAAAGTAATATTTGAAGCGAATGATTTAAACAGTTGCAATCCCCTGGCCTTTACAATAAAAAGTTGAGATTGTGGTGGATAGATGAATTTCATCATGATATCTACGTGTTTTCACACATTTTAATATGCTTTTACAATATTTTGGCGGTGATGATTTATTTATTTACCATATGGGAATACATACACATTTAGTGCAGTACACCTTCATGAAACAACAATTAAAACTACATTATGACATTGCATACATTTATATTCAGGCTTTCCATACAACTTTTGAAACCTGTGGAAACTGCTTGGCGTATCTTCCCTGATAGCAATATGTGTGCTATTAAATTACATTATCTACGTACAATTTCTCTATTTACGGTATCTTGAAATCACGTTTTCAAATTTCTACTAAGTATACGGATTCATGTATTGTAACTGTGTACTTGACCTCCAATACTATCACCAGTTGACACAATTAATATTATTGCTTTGAATAAAACAACTACTGTAATACATATATATATTAGCATACCATTCTGAATCAAAAATTGAAATAATATTTACAAATAATGATTGCATACTTCCACAACTTATTTACATTCCAGGCATTAGATGTATATATCTTTGCAAGCTTCTGTTTTGTGTTAGGCGGTCTCGTCGAATTTGCTTTTGCCAACTTCCTATCGAGAAAGTGTGTTGTTTGTAAGTGCCGTGGAAACAACATAGCCATCGCGAACAACCCCAAAACGGAGGAACCGGCAAGTATAATTCATTGACTGTAAACTTGTTTACGAGCTGTTTTTAACCAATCAATGCAGTCCAATTTTCCATCCTAGACTATCCATTAAGGGCAGACACATTTTGCTGAGACGGTGTCGATTTCTACGTACCAGCCGTCCGTCTAATTGTCCGAACGTGAAAGCATACGTAACACAAACTGTTTTAGTTGAACGTATGAAAACAGAGAAATACTTTATTAAAAAAAAAATACAAAATGTAGTTTGGCTTTTATCTACATCTTTCCATATGTTCTGTTCTTGTCAAAGGTTTTGGTCGCCTATTAACAGAGTGGAATGTCCTCCACCAATAACAATGTTTATTGATAAACAATATTAATTGTCAACGCCAATTGAAAGGAAACATAAGTGTCAAAGAGTATTGTCGCTGTATGCAGACGCGCACCAAATTACACCAACAGTGTGCAATGAACATTATGTTAGGTCACCATAGTGTATTGCATTTATATGAAATTAAATGTATAATGGGAGAGGGTAAGCTACGTCTGCAATACTGCGCGCATTCCGAGTTCATGACTTTAATTACATCGGACGCAGAAGCCTTGAGCAAAATATCTATTTTTATTTTCGCAGGACCTGCATAATCGAGATGGGAACGCGTCCTCCGCCGGCAACTGCAGCAGCATCACGAATAGGACACCTTGGAAATATTCGCACAAACAACAACCCATGTGTCGCCTGCAACAAGAAACGAGCAAAAAACAAGGAAGTTACCATTCAAGTCACTGCGATAAAAAAATGTGTGAGCCTAACTACAAAGCCGAAGCAGTCGATCGGGCGTCAAGATACTTGTTTCCAATTGCGTATTTGGTATTGAATTTAATATATTGGGTTGTATATTCAGTTTGAGTTACTATTTCTGCTCATCAATCATTAAGTTCGATTGTCGGTATGCATATTCATATAATCCTCGATCCCCCTCGAAAAAAATGTCGCCTCTCCAAAATCAAGCTGAAACTCTTTGTGTCAGCAAAATTTGTACCTCAAAATGCAGGAAATAGCGTTTTAGAGGGTTGAGAATTACAAATGTTTTAAGGAGAAGAATACCACCCAGTAAGGTCGCAATTACGGCGCAGGGTTGGTGAGCAGATCTCGCCACTCCGTCTCTGTATGTATACATTCGATAGGCAACGTTTGGTCCAATAATTCAAAACTTCCGGAGAGCAGAGTAATTGTCGATTACATGTAACTAATTATTTATAATCCTATATATATATATATATATTGCATTTTCAGCAAATCATACTATTTCAATTCCCAACACATAATTGTAGTAAAATAGCTACAGTTTAGTTTGCCTTTACAGACTAGAACACGATGTGACAATAATGCATAATTATTGTCTAAATAGTCCTGGAGAATGTTAGAATGTATGCCCCTGAATGACAATTTTCAACTTCTGTTTTGTATTACGTATTGTATAGTATGTATCTTACTACAAACAAAAATCCTGAATAATATAGCTCGATATAATAACGAACACTTGTCTGAACTACTTTATAGTGCATATACAAGTATAAATGTATTCGCAAGACAATATTGTCATTGCGATTTCTCCTTGTTTAGGTTAATTACCCAAGTGTCTATTAAATGTATTACTCGGTATACTAATCACTCGTAATGATTTATTTGACTTTTTTGGCCAGGATTTCAATGTTTTATTTAGCAATTATCAATACATTATGCGATAGCATGAATACAACGTTAACCGATTCGTATCTCACAAGGCTGAATACTGAGTAATTCGCTCGGATACACATTGTATGTTTATGGTTTAAAAGATGTAATACGATTTCAATGTTTTATTTAGCAATTATCAATACATTATGTATCGCATGAATACAACGTTAACCCAGACGTTACGGTACCTCACAAGTCTGAATACAGCATCCCTGAGTAATTCGCTCGGATACACATTGTAAAGATGTAATACGATTTCAGTGAATATATTTATATATATTACCCGATTTTGATTAACAATACAAATTCAAGCCATTTGCTGTGACGGCCACTTTTCATGCATTGTAAGCTAAAATTGTATGTTAACCCTCACCGTCTCTGTGTGTTTGTATTTTGATCTACTTGAACTATGTTTACTTGTTGCAATCTAATATTCTGTGACTGGAGACAACATCGCTGGTGGTTTACGCTCTAAATAAATAGACCAATATATAATATTGAACAGCGTGAATAGTATCGGAAATAGCACACGTGATATCTGATCGATTTTCTTTGCTGTTATCCTAGAACCGATTTTGAACATCGTTTTTTTGACGTCTCGGGTGTCGTCGTTATTCTTGGGATTCTCGAAATCAACATGTAATTTGAACTCTGCCTTTTGTCTTTTTGTTGCATTTTCAGTACCTGTGCTAGATTCCTGCAAAAAAAATACATGTAAAAGATCAGTTGAATCAATAAAATAATCGATCTGCGTTTTTTTTTAAATTAAAAAAACTTTCTGTTTGAATTTACCAAGTTAAGTGCAATAAACATAGTCATTGCGAATATTTGAACAAAAAGAGCTACATACAAATGCTAAGTTACTAGTTTACGGATGGACTAATGAACGTTTAATGTAGACCGGTAATTTGATTCGAAAATTTATTAAAGACTTACCAACTAGTCTCTCTCTCACAAAATAGAAAAAAACGCACACATATCAAAATATTACTTATGTATTATAGTATTAAATAGTACTATCCACGGAGTATAATCAGATATTTTATCTCATTACCCCCTGAAAACATTGGACATACCGAATGTCATTAAATTTATATGACTGACCATTTGCTCGTGTCTCTTTCGTACAACAATGCGTTTTCCGTTGACGTGTATATAATGTACAGTGGCAAACTCCAACATTGCAACAAAGACAAAGAACATACAGGTTGCCAGCCACACATCAATTGCCTGTGAAAAAAAGAAAGCACTTATTTTAATCTCTAGAGTAAATTGTAACATTTGAACTTTCCTCAATATACAAATATACATTAAAGTTTTTATCTCAAGCTGGGTTTAAGATATTGTAGTAAAATGTCTTAACGTTCTCAGAGTGTATACTTGTCTAACGTTTATTATTTGCCAGTAGTCGAAGTGCCCAATCTAGTACATGTAATACAAAATGGTGTTCATGTATCTTGTTAGTTAATTGCAAACAGCTGAGCAGGTAAATAACATGATACACATAAATGCTGAGTGCGGTTATTTTTAACATTATTATAAAACTTGTTATTATAATACAAGCTCTCATAAGGTAGATAATGCAGAATTACTGATTAGGACACATCTCTCTAGATTGACAGATTATTATATAACATTTTATCTCGCAATATGAAACTATGTGTATTTAGTGGTCATTCACAAATAACAAAAAATAAAATCCGTTTATATCATCGCGTTATTGCATTAATTGCCGGTGGGTTGTGCACACGTTGGAGTAATTAATGTAAATCATGACAAATAAAAGTCGTTTATGCGTTTTTCGTGTTGCATTTGGCTATGTTTTGTTGTGTTTCTTCGAGGAGGTTTGTGCATTTCCCCGAATCTGTATTCACTGCTACCGATACTGTGCGCCACTGACTTCCGTCCACTAATATACAGGTATTTCTTTTATCTTTGCACTGTGAACAGCAGCCAACCACAACCCCTGAATAATTGAATAATAAATCAGTTGACCGTTTAGAAATATAGCAGCTAAAGGTCAACGTTGCTGTTCATTTTTTCAGGTGGGATATGTGATTTTGTTCTGATGAATCACTAGTGGTCTGAACGTTTCCATTTCAAATTCTACGGAAATAAATTGTGACAAATTTCCCAATCCAAAGGCTGTACGGGTAGGTTGTCAAAATCCAGTTACTCTGTTCCACATCAAATACACGGACCTTTTGATTGTGCATCTTCTCATTAATAAGTCAATCAACAATGTTAATGTTTCAAACGCAGGAAAATGGTATAGCAGACAAGCTGGTGGTAAAGGATACTTACAGCCGGATATACACCTAACGATAGTGTTTGATTAAGTATACACATTGCATTACAAAAAAAAAAAAGAAGAAAACGCCGGACAAACACCCATAATATAACTCGAGACTTCTGACACCCTCCCCGTTACTATACCGCTTTGGGTAGCTTCCCGCATTATCTAAATTTCACCGGAAACGTGTTGTTTTATTAGGTATTATTCTGGTCTGAGCGAACAAATTGGTAATAAGTTGTTTTTGATTTTATATGCTTGCGATATATGTAATCATCACGGCTTTTGAAATGTTCCAGAACCTTCTCAGTTTATGACCATTGAGAAGTGTGTCTATCTATTGAGAAAAAATTGTCGGAAATCGTGAATCTGGATCTCATATTTCAGTTTGTTGTGTTTCAGACACGTGTTTGAATATACCTACTCACTGATATTCTCCGTAATTGAACAGTATACATTTAACCGAGTCATTTATGAACATGTCATTGGTATTACAACATTTCCAATTATACAATACGCCTAGAATTATGCCACGATGTCAAGGATACCTCCTGTATATTATTTACGTATTTGTTGATTTTATTTTCAATGGTACTATTTAATATTAAATCGGCCAATATAAATCGCACGTGGTTGCTTTTTTTTTCGTAAGTGAGCTTTACTTATAATTGGTATTGTTGTAAATAATATTGTATTCGTTGTTTGATGTAAAAACTAAAAAAATATTATTTTATTGTCAAGAGAATAGACGTTTTTGTTGGATAATAAAACAAATGCTGGAGACTGTTTCATAGCGCCCAAGGCATATAAGCTAATATTTTTTTTTCTATCTCAGATCACCATTAAGGCGAACATTATCATAGAATATTTGAAATCACGATAATGAGTAATCAGCACAAAAATTAATGCATTATCTCGGTCTACAATTGATACATCCCTTAATTTGAATGACTCGGTTAGGCCGGCACCACGCATAAGTACATCAATAGATTTTGATTATCATTTGACAACACATTGAATTTATCCCTACGTATTCCAAAAAATTACCACTTTTGTAGAGCACTGAGGAGTATTTTTTTCCTCAACGTGTAATATGATAACGCCCAACATCGTAGAATTAATTCGCCACGAGATGAGAATGAAGCAATCATATTATAAGTAACTGAATAAACTATTCGGATATTAGTAATTATTTAGCAAGATATTTTGAAGAGAATAATAAAATATAAAAGTTATTCCCAAAATGCGTAATAATTGCCATTAATTCACAAAATGAACATATCTGGTTTGGTATAATGTCTGTCGGTCATGTGATGTGCAATACTATTATAAGTATTTGATTAAATTATCTTGATATCTTGAGGTTATTATTAGAAATGATTAAATAAATATCAAAATGACTCCCTTTGTTGTCACAGCTACATAGTTGAATCATGAGCACGAATATCCATCATGATCAGATTAACATTCCGAATTAAATATGCAAATAGTCTGATGCAAGTGCAATGCATGTAATTAAATGTCTACGAGGTATGGTATGGTTAAACTGCCAATCGACGTATTATGTAATACAGGTTCCATACCAAATTATACTCAACTTCTCAAAATTGTTTTTATTTTTTATTTCACAAAACCTACTTTTATATCATACTATCTATTCATATGGCAAACTATTAGTTTTCATAAACAGGTAAAACAAGTGTTTAATGTATGTGCCATTGCTATATTTCATTTGTTTGCCACGCACCTGTCCTGATTGAACAAAGCCCTATCCCGGAATCACCTATTATATCAGAATGATGCAATACAGTTATTTTATTACTTGTCCGCGATGTGTAATTATATACGCTTCATATACCCTATTCGCAATTTCTGAATGAGATATACGATATGATTTAGGTGAAATTCCGCAACCCAATGACGTTTGTAGCACTATGCATTAATGATTTAATACATATTGATCACTGTTTATGACATTGTTTTGGGTCACAGACATTAGAATGAGATCATTTAACTGACTTATTATATCATGCAAATATGATTGTTACTTCTATAAACAAATGAACAAGCTAAGGACGCTATATGACGTCACTCACAACAAATCATCTCGCCTTGTTCGAGTTTAAATCGTCGAATTTAAAACGGGGGATTCGTCACCTTCGCATTCGTCAGATGGCCTTAACGTGTCAATGATTACAAACAAGCGTTTACCCATGAGCCTTTCCGGCCTAGCGTGTGTTGTTATCATCGCTTGGGACTCAATTCCCGCGCGTGCGCAGGTGACGACTATCCCGCTTTAAGGTCGGACCTCTTTCTCATTATTAGCTAGAGATACATACTAATAAATACGCAACTATTTATTCGTAATTTCATCAATACAAATTCACTATTTATAATTTTTGTCGCCCGTTTTCAAGAAATAAAATACGGTGTTCATGAGTCTCACCATTTTCAAAAACGTTTGCGTGCTTTAGTGTGGTGAATTGTATCTCAAAAGCTCTAAATTCAAACTTTCTAAGCGCTCTGATCGGAAGCAGCAGCAGATCCGATATGTTTTTGAAAAAATGAAAATAACCGTTCGAATTACCTGAAACGCGCAATTTTTGGAGAACTTAAAATTTATTTGTTGATTGGGTTTATCGCTTATAACCTACGTTAAAATACTGTAGTCAGTCTGCCCCCTCATTATGCGGTCTATTATCGGGTAAAATAAAATAGGACACATATTAAACAAATATCATCTTTGCCTACCGTGGCGTATGACACTTCCGGCAAACCTTGCCTGGCTGTTGATATTTGCGTAGCTTCTGTTAGTATAGTTGTGATTCCTAGTGCTACACGTGCCGCTGTGGAATCCAAATGTAACCAAAATGAAATCCATGATAGAATAACGAGCAGTGTGCTAGGTAGGTAGGTTGTGAGTACATAGTATCCCATCTGTCGACGGAGGTAGAATCTGGCTTCAAGAACAGACCACTGAACTGAAATGATATCAATATATCAATCAAGTTCAGTCACTGTCACTCAGAACACGTAATTATTATATCATCAGTCACTAACACTGGAGATATTTAATTATTATATCACCAGTCACTGTCACTGAGACTATTCAATTATTATATCATCAGTCACTGTCACTGAGAATATTTAATTATTATATCATCAGTCACTGTCACTGTCACTGAGAATATTTAATTATTATATCACATTTAGTCAGCTACGGAAATTAAGTCACTATTTTATGTTCAGTCACAATCACTGGAATAATGTCATTATAATATAATGTTCAGTCCATGACTGAAATTATGTTAATATTATATTACTTAAGTCTATCCATGAAATTGTTTTAATATGACATTATGTTAAGTCTATCCATACAATTATGTTAATATGATATTATGTTCAGTCTATCCATGAAATTATGTTAATATGATATTATGTTCAGTCACAATCACTAAAATTGTGTATATATATGCTTACCACGTTTCGTCAGCTACTGTAATTATGTCATTATCTTATGTTCAGTCACTGATATAATGTCATTACAATATCATGTTCAGTCTGTGACCGAAATTATGAATTATTACGTTCAGTCTATGCATGAAATTATGTTAATATGATATTACATTCAGTCTATGCATGCAATTATGTTAATATGATATTACGTTCAGTCTATGCATGAAATTATGTTAATATGATATAACGTTTAGTCTATGCATGAAAGTATGTTAATATGATATTACGTTCAATCTATGCATGAAAGTATGTTAATATGATATTACGTTCATTCTATGCATGAAAGTATGTTAATATATTATTACATTCAGTCTATGCATGATATTATGTTAATATGATATTACGTTCAGTCTATGCATGAAAGTATGTTAATATGATATTACGTTCATTCTATGCATGGAATTATGTTAATATGATATTACGTTCAGTCTTTCCATGAAATTATGTTAATATGATATTACGTTCAGTCTATGCATGAAATTATGTTAATATGATATTACGTTCAGTCTATTCATGAAATTATGTTAATATGATATTACGTTCAGTCTATGCATGAAATCATGTTAATATGATATTACGTTCAGTCTATTCATGAAATTATGTTAATATGATATTACGTTCAGTTTATCGATGAAATTATGTTAATATGATATTACGTTCAGTCTATCCATGAAATTATGTTAATATGGTATTACGTTCAGTCTATCCATGAAATTATGTTAATATGATATTACGTTCAAATTGTTCGCTACTTCCAAAACGGCAACGAGTCAGCTTAATGTCGATACACTGAATTTGTCATATCACAATTACATTCGGCACTTAAGAATTCCCTCATTCGATCACCATTGACAGAATAAAATGTGAGCGTTTGTTCTAATCGGCGAACAATCAATGGTTATACTCTCTGATTTGATTTGATGGACAGTACGATCAGTTGCAGTGTTTGTTGAAAACATACCGTTGTCTTCCTTTGTCATAATTTCATCGAAAGTACGGTAGTCCACTAAGGTGAACTGAGATAACTCATTGTGTTGAAACAACTGAACGGGAAGCTTCTTTCTCCAGTGTAACACGATATCGCGTGCGTCATAGGCGTCTAAAAATAGAAAACAACCCCACCAATTACATATAAAAAAACAATACCATAATGCAAATTAACTGGATAATTGGAGAATATTCCAATTGTCACGGTGACTATATAAATGTAACGCTCAAATTTATAACAAAAAAAGCGTCATTTAACCCGTAGCCCGTTTAATGATTCAAAAGGTCCACGTGTACTCACAGCTTAACAATATCATCGGGCATGTATGCTGGTCCATGGGGAAGCCACTCAGCTGCATATGACAGGATAGCGTGAGACTTAATCTGTGCAAAGAGAATAACAAAATGTATACATATAATGGAATAGAATTGCGGTCAGTTTGTATTATACACTCTAGTGACAACGATAGAGGG